TTATTTTCTATTTTTTGCTCTTTATTTTCCTTTTTTGCAGTTTCTTTGGATTTGATTTACTGTTTTTTTCCCACTTGCTTGCATTGGATGTGTACATCTTTGATTTTTTTTTTTTTAGTCATTCTTTTTTTTTTTTCTGTTATACACATGTATACATATCATCTTCGGTATATGACTTTAGTTGGATTCCACAAGTTTGGCTATATAAAAGTATTTTGTTCAAAATATTTTCTAATTAACATAGAGAGTTCTTCCTTGACTCACATATGGAAGCATATTTCTTAACTGTCAAGCAAATGGGTTCCAATGATATTTTTGCTAGTGATTTCTAGTGTAATTTATGTGCATGTGAAAAATAAAATTCATTCTGCAGTTACTGGGGCTAGTATTTTCTAGTTATCAAGTCATGTTTGTTTAAGGCTCATACCTTGTCCTTACTGTTTGTCCTCCTCTGCCCTCTTCTTCAGTTTCCCTCAAAGTACCATCTTTGTAAAAATACAGTATGAGATCACAAGCAGAATGTTGGCTGTAAGAAATCCCTCAGCAAGCTTGTTTATAGCAATACCTTCTTCCCTTCTCTTCTTACCCCTTTCTTGAGCATCACTTAGCACCACTAATCTGTTATCCATTTCTACCGTTTTGTCACTCACAGTATCACCTTGTAGGTTTGGGTTTTTTTCAGTAGTGTAGTTCTCTAGAATTTTGTTCGTATTAATGGTCTTTTTAGCTGGGCATGGTGGTACACACCTGTAATTCTAACTACTTGGAGGCTGGGGCAGGAGGCTCCCAAGTTCAAGGCCAGCTTGGGCACATTAGCGAGACCCTGTTTCAGAATAAAAAGGGCTTGGGGATGTAGCTTAGTGTAGAGCTGTTGCCCAGCATGCGCAAAGTGCTAGGCTTAATCCCCAGCACTTCAATAAAACAAAAACAAACAGCCCCCAAACATGTGGGTGATGTAGTTTCTCTGTAGTTTCATGGAAGCCTTGCATTCCATGTAGTCAGCATTTTTCATTTTAGCCAATCTAATGGCTAAGTAGCATTTCATTGCGTTTTAATTTGTATCTTTCGTGTGCTCACATTTGCATCTCCTTCTGTAATGCTGATTTTCTAATTGAATTGTTTGTTTTTACTGTAGAGTTTTGGTAAGTTCTCTATATTATAGATTCTAGTCTTTGTTATATGTGTCTGTGTAAATGTTTTCTCTCCAGATATACCTTATCTGTTCATTCTTTTAAGGAACCTTTGATATAGCGAAAGTTTAGCTCGATGAGGTGCAAATTAACAGTTTTTCCTTTATTTATTTATTTATTTATTTTTGCAGAAGTGGGGCTTGAACTCAGGGTCAGCCAGTTTTTCCTTTATGTATCTTGCTTTTGATGTTTTTTTCTACCCCTAGATCCCGAAGATTTCCTCCAGCTTTTTCTCCCTCAAATTTTTATGGGTCTGTATCTTACATTTAAATCTTCATCACGCTGTGCAGTTTTCACCATACAAGCATACAAGTCCCGTAGTTGTTTTGTTACATTTGTACCTAAGTATTTTATTTTGTTTGGAGTGATTGTAATGAGATTATGTTTTAAATTTCCATGTTCATGTTCATTGTTAGTAAATATAAAATGTAGGGTTTTTTTTGTGTGTGTGTTTATTTTATGTCCTGCAACCTTGTTGGACTCACTTATTTGTTAGGAATTTTTTAGATTCTTTGGAATTTTCTGTACAAATAGCCATGCCATCTGCAGATAGAGGCAGCTTTATTTCTTGCTTTCCTTCCCTTGTTTTCTAGAAGACATTATGTAGAAATAGTGTTACTTTCTCTTCAAAATGTTTGAATTCTCCATTGAAGCCATTTGGTCCTGGGAAATCTTTGTTTAGTTTTCAATTATGATCAGGGGCTGGGGACAAGTGGCAGTGTACTTTTCTAGCACATGCCTTGAATTCAAGCCCCAGCACTTCACAAAAAAGTTCTGTATTAAATTTTGTTAAAAAGTATAGGCCCTTTATCTGTTTCCTATTTGAATGAGTTACGGTAGTCTGGGGGTTTTGAGAATTGGTCTACTGGGTGTAAATTGTCAAATGTTGTGTATGTAGCCAGTCAGTTTCCCTGTTAGCCTTCTGGAACCTGTAAGGTCTATGGTGATGCCCTCTTTTCATTCCTGATATTAGTTATCTATGTCTTTTCTCTCTCTGTCTCTTTAACCTACAGGTTTGTCACTTTCATTGATCTTTTTAATAAACCAGTACTTCCCCCCTTTGTTTTTTTTTTGAGGTACTGAGTTTGAACTCAGGGTCTCACACTTGCTAGACAGGTGCTCTACCGCTTGATCCATTCAGCTAGCCCCCTTTTTTTTGTGTTGAGTGTTTTTTTTTTTTTTAAATTTGCTTTATTCTTTGGGTAGTACTCGGGTTTGAACTCAGGATTTCATGCTTCCTAGGCAGGTGCTTTACCATTTGAGCCACTCCACTAGCCCATTGTGTTGAGTGTTTTTGAGATAGGGTCTCATGAACTGTTTGCCCAGGGCTGGCTTCAAACCGTGATCCTCCTGATCTTTGCCTCCTGAGTAGCTAGGATTATAGGTGTGAGCCCCTGGGCCCTGCTAATAAACCAGTACTTTTTAAACTAGATTTTTCTCTGCTGTTTTTCTGTTGTCAGTTTCACTGAGATCTATTTTTATTATTTCCTTTCTTCTACTGGATTTGCTCTTCTTTTTCTAGGTTCTTGGGATGAGGGCTTGGATGATTGATATCAGACTTTTCTAATATATGCATGTAGTATTATGGATTTTCCTGTCACTATTGCTTTAGCTGTATCCTGCAAATTTTCATATAGCATATATATTTTCTCATTTTCATTCAGTTCAATGTGTTTAAAATTTTTCCCTTAAGATTTCATGTTTGACCTGTGGATAATTTAGAAGTATACCATGTAGGTTACAGTGTTTAGAGATTTTCCTGTAACCTTTCTATTACTGGTTTCTAGTTTGAAAAGAATGTGCATTCCGCTGGTAGTGAGTGGATTCAATCCTTAATTATTGTTGGTGCTGAGTTCTGTATCCTTGGGATTTTCTGTCAGTTCTAGAAATTATTAGTAGAGTATTATTAAAATATCTAGTGAATTTATCTCCTATCAGTTCTTTCATCACCTGTTTTATAGCTCTTTTGTTTGGTACAAAGACATGTAGGTTTGCTATGTCTTCCTGGTGGATTGATCCCTTATTATTATGTAATGTCCTTTTTTATTGTCTCCGATAATGCTCTTTGCTGTAAGCTCTACTTCTATCTAATATATAAAAATGTAAATTTTATTTAATTTAAATTTAAATAGGCACATGTGGCTGGTGGCTGCCATATTGACAGTGCAGTTCTGGAAGGTGGAGAGAGCTATGACACAAATTTAATTAAAAGGTAAATGTTACAGTATTAAAAGGTGATAAGGGCAGTGTTCAGTTAGCAGGAAAGGGGAATTGGGACAGAAGGAGTGGGGCATTTGACTTTCAATTGTGAAGGAGGAGTATATCCTGGACTAGCAGGGGATACCATTGTGAGAACTCCAGCCTTTACTCTGGATGATGTGGCAAACCACTGGAAGGTTTAGAATAGATCCTGATTCAATCTGACTTATGTTAAAAATAAAGGTCAGTCTGCTGGTATATGAAAAATAGACTGTAGAAGGTACAAACGGGGAGACTAGTTAGGTGAAAGATGTTGTAGTCATACCAAATGATTAGAACAGATTTGGGAAAAAATACCGACATTTAATTTTGGATATGTTAAGTTTGATATGTTGATTAGATACATCAAAGCAGAGACAACAAAGGAGACTATCATTTTATTCCAGATGTACAAGCCCCTGCCCTTGTAGATCTTACACTTTACTGGATCACGGGTAGTAAACACAATAAATAAGCAAAACATAAACCATGTTAGAAGATAAGCTTGATGGAGAAAATTCATGGGAAAGAAGGATGAGAGGTTGTGTTGGGCTGAGTTCCTGACATAGGAACATTTTGAGTAAAATGATAAGGCGGCAAGTCTAGATACTTGATAGAAAAGTGGTTCTGATAGTGACAACAACATGTAAAGGTTCATGGCTGGTATGTTTGGTGAAGATCAAGGAGGCTAAGTGTGTGTGGAGTGGCTCAAGCAAGGGAAGGAGGATTAGGACATGTAGTTGGAGGTAAAAAGTGTGTTGGGTTACGGGCCTTTTAAGGGCTCTGGCTTTCATCCTGAGTGAGATGAGAAGTTACTGGATGGTTTAGCAGTAAAGAGGCGTCACACAACCTGTGGATTAATTGAGTCACTTTGCCTTGTTGTGATGAGTGGAGTGAAGGGGCGAGGGTGGGAGGAGTGAGATTGGTTAGTCTGTTAGAGTCGTCCTGCTCAGTCTAGGGTGGTAGCAGTAGAGATGGCAAGTAATGAGCATATTCTGGGTACGTTTTGGGGGTTGCACTGCTGACAAAATTGGCTTAGTACTTGGTTGAGAAGAGTGGAAGATTATTCCATGAATTTTACCTGAGCAATTAGGAGCGACATTTACTGAAATGGGAAGGTCTGAGAAGAGTGCAGATTTGAAGGGCATGATTTCAGTTTGGATGCGTTAAGTTTATGATGCAATCTTTCAGACACCTGAGTGTGGACATTCTAATTTATATTTGTGGGTCCTGTTTTTATATTTTAAATGCAGTAGTGGTATTAAAATACTATTCTGAAATATATTTTGTGTTGTTATCTTACTTTTTAATCCTGGCAAAACTGGAATACATTGGAGAGAGCGCACTTGTTTGACAATTTTTTGGCTTTGCTGGCAGAGGAGATGGTACTTTATAAGAGTTAAATAAAGATGTCATTCCTGTTCTAAAATGGAAAAATAAGTGTATAGCCTGAGTATGTTTACTTGCTTTCTGTTTTAGGTCCTATTACAGCTGGATTGTGCAAGATTTTTAATCCTATTTTCTTTGAATTATGATTTAAATACCCAAAATCTTAAATTTTTTTTAAAAAAGGGAAACATTTTAGTTCTGGAAATCAGAATGCCAAGGAAAAGGAAAAATCTTGGGGGAAATCCTTTTCGGAAGTCTGCAGACTCTAAGGAAGTTGTCGTGTCCAGTGTTGCTAGTCGTGAGGATCCAACCACTACTCTTCCTGCCATGTGTGAGACAAAAATTGATCAGGAAGAACTCTTCACCAGTATCTCAGAGATGTTTTCTGATCTGGACCCTGATGTAGTGTATTTGATGCTTTCTGAATGTGATTTCAAAGGTGAGAAAAAGTTTAGTTTGAACCCTTTGCATCTTATAAGAAGACTTCTTGTACTGTGCTATGACTGGTACTAATACATAAAAATGACTCTTAATTTCTATCTTGTTCATCATTTATTAAACATCCACCAAGGACAAGGTACTAAGTTTGGTATTATGAGAGATATGAAGAGTGAAACAGTCTCTGCTCTTAAGAAATTATAGTTCTGGATGTAAGATGCATGTTCAGATACCATCTACTATACCATTTCTTTTCTTTTTATCTTTCCTATTGACATTTTGGGCTATGTAATTCTTTGTTGTGAATGGCTCTTCTGTGCATTGTAGGATGTTTTAGCAGCATCTCTGGCCTGAACCCATTAGATTCCTATTTGTGACAATCAAAAATATTTCCATATATTGTCATTTGTCCCCTGGGAGGCAAATGAGAACCAATGTCCTAGAATGTAAGATCCATGGAGACAGGCATTGTAAAAACTATTTTGTTTTACTGCTGTATTTCCAGCTTCTGTTGTTGGAAATATATATAGTTATGGAAATAAGCCCATTAAATAAGAACCTTTTTGAAACTAGGCTGGGTGTGGTGACACATGCCTTGTGATCCCGGTGATCAGGCTGCTGAGGGAGGAAGACAGTGAGTTCAAGGCCAGTCTGGCTACATAGTGGGAGCGTGTCTCAAAAAACAAAACAAAACAAAGAAAACTTGAGGCTAGTCAGAGTGGTTTGGCTTCAGAACACTGTTTTTGGAAATCAAGAAACCTGGGTTGAATTTCCTATTCTGCCACTAACCTCTTTTGAGTCTGTTTTCTAATTTGTTAATGAAAAAAATAATTGTTTATATCTGTCAGGATAGGACTTTTTGGTGAGGATTAAGGGTTTTTTGTTTTGTTTTGTTTTTTGCCTTCAGTAGTATGCTGTTAATAACTTATAATAATAAATTGTTTAGAAGTATTATATAAGTTGACTGGATGAGTAAATTAAAAATTGATTCTCAGGTTGTTATTGGCCATGATTAGTATAAGATAAATTATTCTAGATTTGAAGATTTTGGTAACACATGGTAAACTTCCATTTTCAGTTATGTGAACTGTGATATGGCCATATCTAATCTATCTGTTACATAGGTAGAAAACCAGGTTTTACCATTGTATGGTGCTCACAAGTACATAGTATGTAGAATTTTGTAAGTGAACTCAACATTTATTGTCTGATTTTGAGGTCCTTAAAGATTATTTATTGCACATACTAGCATTAGCAGCAGGGACATTGTAAGAAAACCGTATTATCCTATATCCTAACAAAGAGCTTATTTCTCTTTTTCAGGATCTTCTATAGACTTTCTTTATAAACAGTTGATGTTATGAGTGGTTCTAATAATAGCATTGATGACTGTTTTTTATACTTAATATAACATAAACATTTTTCAATGTTGCTACAATTGTCACATTTATTTTTAGTCATCTTTTAATACTCCAGTGATTTGTAGTTAATTTATTTATGTTTGAGTTTTTATTGGAAATTAATACTGCAAAGAACATTTCGGTAGAAGTAGCCTTTTGCTTTTGTATGTCTTTTTAAAATTTAGTCCCAGAGTTTTATCTTACGTGTCACAGGGTGGGAACAGTGTCTTGGAAATACATTGCTAAATTGCCTACCAGTGAGTCAAGTTGGTTTGTAGCACCACCAGATCAATATAGTGTAGTAATTAGCCATAGCCTTTTCAGCATTGTGAAGGATTATTTTAAGGTTTTGCTAGGAATAAAATTGTGTCTTTTTAAAAATTTAATTATATTTTTGAATAAGCACACATTAATAATGCAAGGGGATTTCATTGTGATAATTCTATATATGCATACTGTATCTTTTCTTAATTTGTGTTTTTTTTTTAAATAGAAGTGTTGAACATTTTTGTACATGAATTTTCACTCTTTTATTTTTCTGTAAGCTGTTCATTGAATCTTTTTTGTTGTTGTTGTCTTCATATCACAGTTTTAAGTTTTTCCAATAGTCTGTTTAAGGACTTTTCTTTTTGTGTGATAATAATTACCTGTGTGTCTTCATCTTTTACTCAGTTTTACTTTATACTCTTTTTCATTATAAACATTTTAATTTTTTTAGTTTCTCTTTCCTGATTTTTCTGTCGTGGAGATTTTTTTCATAGAAATAGTTATATACTTGCTTTTTCCCTCTCCGCCTTTTTCCACTGTCAAGGCTTCTTGCCTTTGTAGTGTTACTGTGATCTCCTGACTGGTCTCTGCCAGGCGTGCCCCTCCAATCCCTCTTTGTTTTTCTTCTTAAGGGAACAGTAATTGGGTGCTTACTAGGTACCAGTCCTTGTGCACAGCCCTTTTTCATGGATAATCTCATTTAACCCCCACAACCACCTATGAGGTAGGTACTTTTATTATCCCCATATTTCCAATGAGAAAGTCAAGGCTTAGGGACATTAACTGACTTGTTCAAAGTTGTTGTAGCCAGCAAGTAGGGATTTAATTGCTGGTGTTCTGACAGCAGACCAGGGCTGTTACTTCCTGTGCTGTGCTGTTTCCAGACTTACCTTCCTGAAAACAAAAAGAGATAAAACACAAAAATTTCAAACATTTGAAATTTTTTTTTTTCTTGTGATGCTGGGGATCAAACCCAGGGCCTCATACTTGCTAAGTAGGCCCTCCACAACTGAGCTTCATCCTTAGCCTTAAATGCTTAAAAATTCTAACGGCTACCTGTTTGCATTATAGCGGAAAGAGCTCAGCATTGGAGTCAGTCATAGCTGTCCTGGCTCTGCCACTGTCTGTGTGACGTGGGTCCAGTTAATGCACTTTGTGAGCTTCATGTCTTCATCTGTTTGCTAGGATGATAGCTCGTAGTGTTAACTGAGAATTCTGAGAATTTAGTAAGGTGATTTGTATAAAGCTTCTAGCCCAAATGCTGTGACTGGTAGTTTACCTTCACCTTCCCTTAGAAAATGAAATAGATGTTTCTTAGCAAGACATAAGGCCCCTTGTCAGTGTTACCCTGTCTCCCTCCCTGGTTTTATCTTCTCTTACCCACCGTGCACACCATTGTGAGCTCACTCTCCAACAACTTCTCCTAACACTTTAAGCAGACTGTGTTTTCAAGCTTGGCTTTACCGTTTCCCATCTGGCAAGATGCTTTTTTAACCTCGAGTGCCAGTCACATATAGCTAAATGTGGAATCCTTCATTCTCCTGTCCACTGCTGTGGCATTTACATTATTTAATCTATATTATATTATGATGTAACTATCTTCTAATGTAATTGTTTTTAAACTCCATTGAAATGTAAAATCCTTTGATTATAGTTAAAAACTGTCTTACACATTTTTTACCAAGTATTTCTGATCCGTAGTATAAGTAAATTAGATGCTAGTAGCATAATACTTAAAATATGTAATCCTTAAAAGGCAATGCAGTAGGTAAGTACCTGTTGAATAAATCAGCTAGCTTCAGGACCTGTATAAATAACTCTAATAATATAATTACAGGTATTTATACATAAACCCAGTAAATTAATCATAGAGTTTCTACTTGATAATTTACTACTTCCTGTCTGAAAGAACAACACTGCATGTCTCTATCATTTCAACTTTTCATTAATACAGATTTTGGTTTCCTAATGAATCAGTAATTTTTAGAAGATGACTTGAATATTTATAAATTTCTCTGTACTCTATTCAATGCAAAAATCAAATATTTTTTCTGGATTTCATTGAGGTTATATGAGTTTGATCAATATATTCTGCATTTTTGTTGTTGTTATTATTCTTGTTGTGCAGTTGAAAATGCCATGGATTGTCTATTAGAATTATCTGCCACCGATGCCAAGGTAGAAGAATCCTCTTCACAAAATTTTGTTGCTTCTGAGAACCAGCTAAGTGCAGCAGGAAGTGGAGTAATGGAGAAGTGTCCTCCCGAAGAAGAGAGTGAAGACTTAAAAATGGATTCCTTTTTGGATATGCAACTAACCGAAGACTTGGATTCCTTAATCCAGAACGCGTTTGAGAAATTGAACTCCTCTCCTGATGACCACATGTACTCATCTTTGCCTTTGCAAGATGTGAATAGCTTCCATGACTCAAGTATGTTTACAGGTAGTGTGGCTCCCGTTATTTCTGCACGAAGCACGGATTCCAGCAGTGAAAATCTTGAGAATTCTGCTTCTCCAGTAAGTTCAAACCAATTAACTCCACATTCAGGTTTTAATGAGTCCAAAAGTTTTGCAAAAGGTAACACATTGGCTCTGGAAGCCAGCTACCCAGAAGATTCTCTTCCTAGTTGTTCTTTAAATCCAGCAACCGAGTCTCTTGTGAATCGTAGCAATTTCACTCAGAGACAGACGGCGCTTTTAGAACCGGAGTGTGCTGACGCTCCACACTCTCGGCCCCCTGGAGATTTGGCTGCCGTGAACTTCATGCTCCTTCAAACCTCTCTCAAAATCCAGGTGGGGATCAGAAATCTGCTTCTGTCTCTGATGGGTTCAATTTCAAGCCACAGAAATACCCTGAGCTGCCACCAAAGGGGAAGGATGTTAGCTACTGCCCAGTACTCACGCCTCTCCCATTACTCCTTCCTCCTCCTCCACCTCCACCAATGTGGAACCCAATGATTCCTGCCTTTGACCTCTTTCAAGGAAACCATGGCTTTGTAGCTCCTGTTGTCACCTCAGCTGCACACTGGAGACCTGTCAACTACACATTTCCACCCTCTGTTGTTTCTCACGCGTCCCCAACAAAGGTATGGAGAAACAAAGAGGGAACAAGTGCTTACCAAGTGCAAGAGACTCCAGTTTCTCAGGTTGCAAGAAAGAAGACAACATCCTATGTTGGACTAGTTCTTGTTCTTCTCAGAGGGCTTCCGGGATCAGGAAAGTCTTTTTTGGCAAGGTAGGAGGTTTTAGTGGTAATGGCTTGTCAGAGTATGCAGATTGGTGGCACTGGGGTGTGAACTCAGGGCTTCACGCTTGCTAGGCACGTGCTCTACTACTTGAGCCATTCCTCCAGCCCTTTTTTCTCTTTTTTGAATATTTTTGATATAGGGTCTTGTGAACTATTTGCCTGGGCTGACTTTGAACTGTGAGCCTCCTGATTTCTGCCTCCTGAGTAGCTAGGATTACAGGTGTCCACTGATGTCCAGTCTGTCTAGAAGTTTTTTATTGAAATATTTTGATATTTTTGCAAGACAAAAGAAAAAAATTAAAGATAGATTTGAGATACTGAGTTTCTGAAATGAACAGAAATAGCTTTTGTGGAATAAAGCTAATTTCAGTGGGAGAAAGAAGAGTTCAACTTTGCTTGTGGATTTAGAAAACCATAACTGATTTTGAGTTCAGGGAAAGGAAGTCTTAAATACATGAATTCTGCTGGTAGTTGGAAATTGGGAATATAATATGTTGTTAAATAATGCTTTTTGAAATGTGTGATTTGAAGGAAGCCAGAGTGTAGAATGAACTTCAAACTTTCAATCATTTATTGGTTGCAAAATACATACCATCAATAATTTTCTGATATCCACTTCAGTCTGTTTTGTAGAAGGTGGGTACCTTTCTCTGGGCCAGAGTTGGTTAGAGCCAGCTTTGGTATGATGCTAGTGGCACTCCTTCAAGCATGTCCTTTTCCTAGTGCCTCCCTTAAATCCCAAGAGATTTATACCTAACGTACTTTGTCAGCTCTTTTTTTTTCCTCCCCAATTTGAACTTTGTACCCTGGTCTATTCTGGTTGATCTGAAGTGTATCTAGTCGTAGTGAGCCTGCATACATTCTGGGGAACATGCTTCATTAGCCCATTGTCAGTTGTTTTTGTTTTTCGATAGCTTTTATTTGTCTAGATTGATCTTCCAGTGTGCTGCCACATATTCTGTTCATACATTTGTAAGTGTGTTCTTCTGTAGATACATCGGAGGTTTTTCTCATTCAGTTAATAGCAGTATTAAAGTAATTTTAATGTCACTTCATGCTGTGCAGTCAGTCACAGCATCACGTTTTATGAGAGATGGGAAAGAAAGGCTGTGCTTTATAAGGTCTAACTAGAGCTGCGAATCATGTTTGTAAACTCAGGTTCAGGGGCCTTAGGATCAGAGGCAGCAAGAGTTTGAGAACGGGAAGAGAGAGTAGTGCTTGTCACAAGCTAGGAGCAATGGTTTTTGAAAGAAGAGAGAAATAGCTGGGATGGTACAGAGACAGAGCAGCTGAGTTTTCTCAGAGACACTGGTCCACATTAGTGTATGAGCTCAAGGTGGGCGAGGGGTGAAAACAGGACTCTTAGATTTGGCAGAAAGAAGGTCATGAACTGACATCTGACGAAAACAATTTCATTTTCCTGTCAGGGTGGAAGGGAGGGAATGGGGTGAGGAAGCACCAATGATGGAGCAGTTCAGGGAAGGAGAGAAGTTGGGGAATAGTTGAAAAGGGTCCCAAAGTGTGGTTAGAGTTTTTAAAGACAGTTTGATGTACATGTATTTAAAGGGAAAAGAGGAAGTGGCAGAGAAGGGAAAACATAGAAGAACATAAATAATCAGAGCTGGGATCAAGTGAGCACTCACTAGGATGCAGAGCAGTTTTTGACGCTGTCCGTCAATGGGTGCTGAATGCTCAAAATAGTGCCTGGTAATAGAGATGCTAATAAAATTAAGTTCAAAGATATGTTTGAGCATTAGATGTGTTTATTCTTATTTTAGGAAGAAAAGAATAAATGGTGGGATTTTTCAAATGGATAATGAGAAGGATGTAATGTCTCTGTGTTTTTGTCTTATTTTTGTGTGTATCCCAAATGTGTAGAAGATGAATTCCAGAATCAGTAGAGATGTCAAGAAAAAAACCCTACCCACACAACTGTCTTAAGTTTGTTTATTTTTATTTGACAGACTAAATTGATAATCTAGAATCATCATAATTTTGGATTCTTTTGGCATGCTTACTCAATTTATAGAATATGCAGAGAGCTTTCTCTACTTTTGACGACTGGTTCTAGCTTAGTACTTGCCTACTTTAAAGTGGCTTACTCAGAGCGAGTGGTGGGGGTGGATCAGCGTGTATCAGGAGATCAGATGAGGGGAGTGCTTGTGATTGACAGTGTTCTGAAGCACTTTTAGTTGCTAGGTTTTCTTGTCTTCTTTCCTTTTTTTTTTTGGTTGTGGGGGTGGGGTGATACTGAGGTTTGAACTCAGGCCCTTGCCGTTCTAGGCAGGTGCTCTACCACTTGAGCCACAGCCCCTAGACCTGATTTTTGCTTTTAGTTATTTTTGGATAGGATCTCACATTTTTGCCCCGGGTTGACCTCAGACCATAATCCTCCTACCTATACCTTGTGCTGGGATTATAGGCATGCACTTTGGTCAAGAGGTCTTGCTAACTTTTTGCTTCAGGTGGCTTCAAATCAGTCTTCCCATTCTCTGCCTCCAGAGTAGCTGGGATTACAGGCATGAGCTGTCACACCTGGGCCCTAGATTTTTCTTTCTTTCTTTTTAAATCCCTGCTATTACCTGAAGAGTCCCTAGCTTTTTTCTTGTTGATTAAAACTTGCTCATCCTTGTTAATTATAAAGGTCTTTATAACATTAAAATTTTTTGAATAATTTATATAAAGCAAAATTAACCTGTGTAGGTCAGTTTTTTGGGAGTCAAACTTTTGCATAAAGGACTTCCAGTATAATTTGTTTCAATATTATAATATTCTTTAATATAGTGTTCAGATTTTTTATTTGAATTATAACTGTAAAATTAGGAGAATTTTGGAAGGAAATTTAATGGAAATAATTCCCTTTATTTCCCCCAGGACTTTGCAAGAGGATAACCCGAGTGGAGTCATTCTTAGTACTGATGATTATTTTTACATAAATGGACAGTACCAGTTTGATGTAAAGTACTTGGGAGAAGCACATGAGTGGAACCAGAATCGAGGTAAGAGTGACACTAGGTGTTGGGTGGTCACAGTGACGTAGAGAGAAGGGTCACTTGGTGTTTGTATTTTGAGAGACATGTAGCTGTAAGAACTTACAACTGATGTCAGTCCTAGAACTGTATCAGACATACCGGACTCTACCTATGCCGTTTATACTGATGGTCACTTTACACAGCAGGAAGGAAATGACATAATCCTACTTCGTAGGACTGTTGGGAGGATTTTAATAGGATGATTTTTTATAAGATGTTTAGAATATTGTATGGCATTTTTAGATTTTTTTATAATCAGTGGCGGTCTTTTATTGTCATATTATTGTTGTACTGGGAGTACATTGTGACATTTGCAGAACTTTTTACAATATATCATAGATGAATTCACCCCCTCCATCATTGTCCTTTATCCCTCCCCCCCCCACCCCACTGGGGGTCTTGCCAGAAGTAAATCTAATTTTCTACTAGGGTCTCAATAGATCAAGAAGTTTACAAGTGTCTGTTGTATTCTGGTTCCTGTTTTCTTTTTTGTTTTTTTTTTTTGGTGACAGGGCCTTGCTGTCAGGATGGCCCTGAACTCTCCATCCTCCTGTCACAGCTTTCCTGCCTCCTATTTACTAAAGTGGATTTTTTTTTTTTTTTTTTGTCAGTACTGGGGTTTGAACTCAGGACCTCACACTTGCTAGGCAGGCTCTCTGTCACTCAAGCCAATCCAACCAGCCTCTCTTTGTGTTGGGTATTTTCAAGAGAGGGTCTTACAGAATATTTTCCTGGGCTGACTTCAAACTGTGATCCTCTTAATCTTTGCTTCCTCAGTAGCCAGGATTACAGGAGTGAGCCACTGGTACCTGACTGGTTTGGTTTTTATAGAGGACAGTGTGAGAGTAAAATGACTCTTCAACTGGGCATGGTGGCATACGTTGTAATCCCAGCACTCAGGAAACAGGTTAGGAGGATCTTGAGTTGGAGGCCAGTCTGCACAACACAAGGAGACCCTGTCTCAAAAAAACAGGCTGCCTTCAAACAGGGAGCTCATAGGTAAAACCTGTGGTCCTTGTTAGTACAGCAGTGTCTTGTACTAAAGATAGGTTTATCATTCAATAGTTAATTGCTGTGTAAGTTGAATTTCATATGACAGTTCTTACTAAGACAAGCGAATACATTTTACTTAGCCTTTTTTTTTATGACAAATACACTGTGAACATGATTCTTGAGTTTGCCATCTTCAGGCATTGTTAAATTTGTGTATATTTCTTGAACTAAAAGTTAAAAGTGAGAACTCAGGGATATGGAAAACCCAACTCAACCAAAATACGGGAGGCAGTGTGACGGACGCTGAAGATCAGCTTTGGATTTGCCAGTGACTGACTGTGCGATCTTGTGCACGTTGTTTGTACTCCTCAAGGGTCAGAGACTGTGTGAAAGGGGAGAGCGATAGTAACTCTCAGGATTGTGCTGATGAAGTGAAAGTGAAAACTGCTGAGCACTGGTTCAACACACCCTTTAACAGCAGCCACCACCACGATAATAATACATTAATATCCAGAACTCTTTTAAACAACTGTAGTGGGATATAATTCATGGGCCATACAATTCACTCATTGAAATTGTGCAATTTATGGTTTTTAGATTTAATATTCAGAATTGTGAGCTGATCGATATTTTTTTAAAATGTGGCACTGGGGTTTGAACTCAGGACTGCATGCTTGCTAGGCAGGTGCTCTTACTGCTTAGTTACTTCACCAGCCATTTTTTTGTGATGGGATTTTTTAAGATAGGGCCTCACGAGCTATTTGCCCAGGCTGACTTTCAAACCATGATCCTGCCGATCTCTGCTCCTGAGTAGCTCGGCTCTGGGTGTGAGCCACTGGCTGGGTGCCACCAAACCTGACTTGGAATAACATTTTCCAGGTTCATCCATGTGTATTTTATTAGTTTGTTTTTGATACAGGGTCTTGCTGTATAGCCCAGGCTGGCCTCAAGCTTGTGATCTTCCTGCTTCAGCTTCCTACATGCTGGGTGTATGGTTGTGTGCCACCATACCCGGCTTCATTCCTCTTTATTGTTGGGCAGTGTTCCTTGATAGCTGGCAATAAAGTGGTGTGCATGTGTCTGTATGCATGCATACGTATTGATCTGCTCATCAGCCGATGGATAGTGGATTGTTTCCCCTTTCTGGCTGTTATTAACAATGGTGTTGTAAACGTTGGTGTCTGTGTCTAGCCTTTTTTGGAATTTTCACCATTTGCAAAGCAGTTGTGCCGTTTCCCATTCCCACTATAGTTTATGAGGGTTTCAGCTTCTGCACAATCTCATCAGCACTCACTACCTGTCTTCTTGACGTTCGCTGGCCTGGTGAGCGCGGAGTGCACCTCCTTCTGGCCCGACTGCATCTCCTGTGGCGAGTGGTGTTGAATGTCTTCTTTTGGTGGTGGTGGCCATTTGTATTGTCTTGTTTGGAGAAATGTCCATTAATAGCCTTTGCCCATTTTTAAGTTGGGTTTTTTGTGTTTTTATTAAAGAGTTGTAAGAGGCTGGGCAGAACTTTCACAGCTTCCAAATAACTTCCTTGTAGGTTTACTTGTTGTGTCCATCATTAATTTTCTGAATGGTCTATCTAATTCTTTGAGGAAAAAGGAAACTTTCTCAGAAAAATCACTTCTACAATAAGATATAATGTTTTTTTAAATTTCAAATCATTACATGGTTTGTGTGTGTTTATATTTTTTGTTTTTAAACTTTATTTTAGACTTATAGAAAAGTTGCAAAAGGTAGTCTAGAGAGCTTCTGTGTACCCTTCACCCATTTTCCCTAATGTTAACATATATAACTAGGATAAATTTGCCAAAACTAATAAGTTAACGTTGGTTTATTACTATTAACTAAACTCCTGACTTCATGTGGATTTTAATTTTCCACTCACGTCCTTTTCTGTTCCAGAACTCAATCTAGGATACCATGTTGCTTTTAGAATGATATAATTTTTTTCTGATTATTATATAGCTGTAGTATTTATTATTCAACATTTTCCTCTGCTTTAAATTTTCATGTCCTCAAAAGTGACATCTTGTAGTCAAGCAGTTAGTAAAATTAGTTCATCTGTGGCTTTGAAATTATGAAGACAAGATCACATTTTGAAAAAAATCAAGATAACACTTGATATTCTTCAAATTACTTGTCTTTTTCTATTGTGTTTTTCAGCAAAAGAAGCTTTTGAGAAGAAGGTATCTCCAATAATAATAGATAACACAAACCTGCAGGCATGGGAGATGAAGCCATACGTTGCTTTGGTTTGTACACGGAGTTTATGACCATGGGTTGGGGTCATGGGGTTGTTAGTGACACAAGTGAGTTGCTAGCACTGGAGAATCCCAGAGCCCTGATCTGCCTCACAGAGAAATGGGACAGTTGAGATAGCTGAAGCCTTCCTTGAAGCTAAACTTAGCTGTTAAATTCTGAAAGTCAGTTGTTAAATTCTGAGACTGTTTTTGCTTTTGTTATCTTTATGAGGAGGTATTAAGTTGTAATTGTGTGTGTGTGTTTTGATTCTGCCAGGTAAGATTTCTTTTACTTGGAGGAATCAAAATTTGGGGTCCCTTGTTTCCCCATATTTAAAAACAATTTTTTTTATTGTGCTGAGAAACTTGGAATTCCATAAATGCCATGGTTTCCATTCCCCAAATTTGTCAGACTCCCCTTGTTACTGACCTTTTCCCCCTTCGCCTGGAATACACCCCCTACCCTTCCTTCCATGTTTGCCTTGCTCATATTTACTTGTTCCTTTTTGCCTGGCTTCGCTATCACCTCTTTCAAGAAGTCAGCCATCATTAATTTATTAAGCTGAGCTAGGTGCTTTTTCTGTTTTCATGGCACTGGGTTACTTCTGCCGTAGAGTGAAGCACACTGTCTTTATCTGCACGCATCGGGCTTTTTCCTTCCGTCCCTTTCCTTCCCTCTTTCCTTTAAAGATGTAAAAAACTATCCTGGGTTACCAGAATGTACAAATACTGGCCTTTGGGCTGGATTTGGCCTTAAAAATATCTGCATATTCTTGAGGAGAGGACAGTTGTTTTCTTTGTTACTGAGTCTCAGGGTCTGGCACTGAACTTGGCATACAGCAGCTGTGTATTTATTGAATAAACTGGTAAATGAAGCTTTTCTGATTGGGGCATTCTTTCGGTTGTCCTCTGTCATTACTGCATACCTGACCCATGGAAATGTCATGTATGCTTCTTGAGTGAGTGAATGTTCTGGTTCCTCTTTTATGTCCTTAGCACACCTGGAATCTGTTTACCTCCTTTGGGGTACCTAGTGCATTGTGTTATTTTGAAGGTGTGGTTCTTTACTTTTCTGAGGAAAATTATGTCCATCGAAAGCAAATGAGATTTTATTTCTGCGCAAGAGCAGAGGAGGGCACAAGGACTTGATGTTAGCGCATCGGGAGCTGACATTTTGTTTTCCTCTCTGGCTGGAGGAGTTTCTCATGTTGGCACTAATTACGGGGGCAGGCTGTGTCCTTACCCTCACGCGGCTTGTCTGTAGGCCTTCTTTTGCTTTTTGCCGTCCTGTTAGAAAGTTCTTTAGCCCTTTATTTTCCTATGTAGAAAATAAAGAAGGCTTCCTTGTGTGTCTGACATTCATTCAATTTTTAGGCTTCTGTGTTTTTCTCTTCCTTTTTCTAATATGTTCATTGAAAATGTAAAACTTTTTCCAGAATTGATTGTGTGGCTCTTCCTAACATTACTTAGAAGTATGTAAGAGTCCTGCTATTAGAGTGCCAAATGCACTTTTCCTACAAAGAAGTAGATACAGTTAGAGCGTGGCTCTGGGGTACAGTGCTGATCTGTCATTCACAAGGACCTGGGTTTGATCCCCAGCACTGCAGGGAGAATTACTGCAGAGAAGGGGGTGCCTTTTCACTTCCTTAGGTGGCAAGAAATGAAGGCCGTTGTGAAGCTCTGTAGTAGCTTGGTGTCTAGGCTGGCTTTTGGCTTTTCTGTCATAATTGAATCACTTTCGCTGTCCTGTCATAAAATCGAAGGGACGGGCAGTAGGAGATGGGATCAGAGCGATTCCGAAGATGGTGGAGCAGATTACATAAGGCACACAGAGCACCATGTGGAGTTCGGATTTTAAGACACAAGGAGGGTGTAGAAGTTTGCTCTTACATGCTGCCATGACAGAGAACCGTGCGGGTGGCTTAGACAGTAGAAACATACTTTTGGAGGGGGCAGTCCTAGATCCAGGTCTTGTAGAGTCGGTTTCTGGTGAGGGTTCTCTTCTTGTCTTACAGACGGCCATCTTCTCCCTGTGTCTTCACGTGGTGGGGAGGGAGAGTGAGCTCTTGGTGTCTTTTTTATAAGGACACTGATCCAACTGGAGTAAGGTACTGTATCAGATGTTCCCGAGGGTCAAATGTGAGAGAGAGAATCATAGTATTTTTCAATGTGGAAGTAATTTATGGGTTTCGTACCCAGTTTCTATGCAGTAGTCAGATGGAGTGGGACAAAGAGAGGTTAGTAGAAGAGGAATTGGAGACAGGGACTATATTCATAATTTTGAAACTTTTTAACAAAAGGGAGCAGGGCAATAAGGATATAACTGTTAGGGGAAGTGAAGTTGAGTAAGATGGTGATCTGGGCATGGTGGTGTACGCCTGTAATCCCAGCATTCTGGAAGCTGAGCCAGGAGGATCTCAGTTCAAGGACAGTGTGGACTGCATAGACCCTGACTTGAAAAAAAAGAGTTAATATGGGAGAAGTAACTGGATGGATGTTCATATATTTATGGGATTGATTTAGGGGGAAAGGAGAAATTAATGATACCTGAGAAAGGGAAAATTGCCCAACTCAATTCTTTTTCTTTTTTCTTTTTTTTTTGGCAGCAGTAGGGTTTGAACTCAGGGCCTCATACTTGCTAGACAGAGTGCTTTTACTGCTTGAGTCACTCCGCCAGCCCTCAGTTCTTTTTTTTAAATTGTATGAAACATTTAATTTATTGGTCTTTCAGGAGAATTATTACAATTTAGCCATTGATCTTGGCTCAGCATTAACTGGTTCATTTTCCTGTTGCTGCTGAGGAATCAGGTCTTTCTGCAGAGATTCAAGAGAATGGCCTTTTGAGAAGTGTGCAAGTTCCTTCTGTATGTTTACAAGACCTTTATTCACTCTGTTAACTTTTTCAGCATTCACAGTGTTTGTCTTCTTAAGATTCGTGGTAACTGGTTTTGCTTTGTTTTTAGCCTTAAAGTTTTTTTGGCTGGCTATGTGAAATACATTCTGGACTTCTGCCCTCTTAGTTGTTCTTGGCCATTGTCTCTCACCAGACCTTCAACCGCATGTGCCTCAGTTATTCCTGAGTAGGAGAAAGGGGCGAGCTATAGTGTACGTGCATAGGACTTGCTTGCCAGAGCATAGCCGTAAAGTGCTTTGAAAGAGGTTTGAAAAGGCTATTATTTGACATAATTTTAAAGTTACAATAGTCATGAACGTTTATGATACTCAAACTTCAAGAGAGAATGCCTAAAGCCGTCCTCCCTAAAGAAGTGCATTCGTAGGATTTTGAGAACCTTTGTAGACATTTTCTCTGCACATCCAAATGTGTGAATAATCCTTTTCTCCAAAGTGAAGAGTTTTTGTCTTACTTCCTCAGCAATCAAGGCCCTTCTTTCATTAACACATGTAAGACTTAAAAATTACTGCTTAATATTGTTATTTGATGGTTATGCCTTTATCTAGTCAAATCCATATTGATAGTCACTGAGTTACTTGTATTCTTTTGCTATTGTGAATTGTGCATATGTATATTTGTGTGTATATATGTGTATTTACCCAACTTTATTCTTATACAAGTAGTTATCAATAGCATAAATTAATTCCTGGAAGTAAATTGCTTGGTCAAAGAGATTGTGTATTTTATCAGTTTAATACACCTATCAGGTGTCTTTGAGGGTTTTTTTTTTTTTTTTTTAGTTTTAAAATGCCATGAGTTTGGAAGTAATATGTTTAGTTTCATGGAAATAATGATTTTAAAACATTTTTGTCTTTTTTGTATGTAGTCTCAGAAACATAAATACAAGGTCCATTTCCGGGAGCCAGACACATGGTGGAAGTTCAAGCCGAAGGAACTTGCAAGGTAAAGCTTGGAGGTTGTGTAGATGTGTGTGTTTTTTTAATTTCATTACAACGATTGAAAGTCCATCTAGATTTTTTCCCTTGATAAATGATAAATGAGACAAAATTGATTAGATTTCAGTCTTGCCAGCAAATTTTATATTAATGCCTCTCTCCAGTTTTATGAAGTCATAAGCTTTTTGTTTCTAAAATTAAGTCAAAAAATTCCAGCTGTTTTATATAGTCAGTAATGTATTTCCTTTTAATAATGTGTTACGATCTGAAATTAGAACAGACTGTAGGATTTGGTCCACGTGAACCATGTGCTGCTCATAGCTGCCTAGAGACTAAGAATACTGATGGTGGGAGGGGGTGGAGATTCAAAAGGTAACAGACACCTCGATGTCCAGTTATTTCATACTTCCACCTTCCAAAATTATGCTTTTTTTCTTTATTTGGTTGCTTGACTTGAATAAGAGTGTTACTCAGAACATGGACATGCGGTTTGTTTTCCTTGTCCCCTGTGTACCCTTAGAAAATAGCCCTAGCTTAATTTTGGGCAGGCTTGTTTCTTCTTGGCAATTTTAACTAATTTCAATACTGCCTAAATTAGGACGACTAACTTCAGTATAGTCATGATGTTATGTGACTATTACCATGGTCTAATTCTAGAACGTGTCCATTTCCTCAAAAAAAGAACTCCTACACCTGCCACAGCAATTTCCACATCCCTCCTAATTCACTCAGTGCTGACCTGTTTTCTGTCTCTGTGGATTTCCCTATTCTGGACATCACACAGAGTGGAATCACAGTGTGTGGACTCTGGTGTCTTCATCTTTCACTTGGAATAATATTTTGAAGGTTCATTGATGGTGCAGCATATATCGTTACTTAATTCCTTTTTTATTATATCAGTGAATTTGGTTTCCATTTAGGATTTTTGCGTCTCTGTAACGAGTGAGATTGGGTTGCAGTTTTTCCTTCTCTGACTTGCCTTGCTTGAGTTTGGTATCATAGTTTAATTCATAAAATTGGGAAATATTTCTTTTCCTCATTCACCCTTGATCTAGATTTGGGTATTGGATAAAGTACCGAAAGCTGTTTTTATCTGGTGTTTTCTTTGAGACAAAGTTCAGTTGGAATTTTCTTGTCATACCAGAATTGTTTAAGACTTCACTAAACAATTTTAATATTCTTTTACCTCTTATATCTCTACCTTATTAACAGTTAAGTTCCCCTTTTCTATCCTATGCGTTTATATTATGTTCCTTCTCTTTTTCTCATTTATTCTCTCCAGAAATCAGATATATTTTTTTTAAAAACTAGACTTTTCAAATTAACAACTCTTAGCTTGATTGATCTTCTCTTTTTTAAGTTTTTTTTTGTGTTTAATTCATTTCTGCTTCTCTTTATTCTTTCTTTAAAAAAAATACCTAATTTGCTTTGCTTATTCTATTATTATTCTTTTTTCTACTGTTTTCGCAGTACTGGGGTTTGAATTCAGGTTCTTGCTAGGCAAGCACTCTACCACTTGAACCCACCCCCAACTTATCTTTTCAAAACTTTTATTTATTTATTTATTGTTTTATTATTCATATGTGCATACAAGGCTTGGTTTATTTCTCCCCCTGCCCCACCCCCTCCCTTACCACCACTCCACCCCCACCCCTCCCGCTCCCCCCTCAATACCCAGCAGAAACTATTTTGCCCTTATCTCTAATTTTGTTGTAGAGAGAGTATAAGCAATAATAGGAAGGAACAAGGGGTTTTGCTGGTTGAGATAAGGATAGCTATACAGGGCATTGACTCACATTAAACTTCTTTTCTTGAAGGTTATTTTCTTTTGTTTTTTCTTTCTTTGTTTGGTGGTACTGGAGTTTGAACTCAGGGCCTTGGACTTGCTAGACAGGCATTCTACCACTTGAGCCACACCCACCCCTCTTTTGGTTCTTTTTTAATATGAGTATTTGATACATTAAATTTCCCTGTACACTACTTTATCTGCTCTCAGAATTTTAATAGGTAATGCTTCCCTTTGGTTGGTATTTATTTTCTAAATTGCTTGCATTATGGCTAATTTTACTCTTTAATGCCGCCTGGGTTATTTAGAACTATGTTTTAAAATTTCTGAACAAAGGGGTTTTTTTTAAAAAACACCTTTTTTAAGTTTGCAAACTTTAAATGTTGTTGGTCAGATTGTGGAATGTTTTTCAGACTAATCCTCTATATTTTAAGGAGCTTTTTATGACCTAGTTAATGTCACTTCTTACTAAATGTTCCATTTTTTGCTTGATAAGAATTGTGTCTAGTTATAGCATTTAATATATCTATTAATCATGTTATGTCTGCTGCCATAGCATATCCTATAGCTTTTTCCTTTTTTTTTTTATTGTTGTGCTGGGCTGTGGGTAGAATTGTGGCATTTACGATCTTCTTATAATATATCAAATATATCATACTGAATTCACCCCCTCCACCATTCTCCTTTTCCCCCTCCTCCTCCATTCCTGGAACAGTTTTAACAGGTCTAATTTTTCCATATTCATACTTGTGTACCCAGTATTTGCACCATGTTTACCCTCCCATGCCTTTTCCCTCCTCCTCCCCACTTCCATCTTTTCCTTTTTGCAGTACTGGGCTTGACTCAGGGCTTACCCCTTGAGCGACTCTGCAGCTCTTTTCTTGTGATGGGTTTTTTTGAGACAGGTCTTGCAAAACTATTTGCCCGGGCTGGCTTTGAGCCACCAATCCTCCTGGTCTCTGCCTCCTGAGTAGCTAGGAATTAACAGGTGTTGAGCCAAGGTGCCCTGCTCTTTTTTTTTTTTTTTTCTCTTTTTGTCTGTCTAATGGGTTTAATGTTTGTGAGAGCGCTGGTGAAACTCTCCTAATGTGAGAGAGGCCATTTAGAAATATCCCTCTAGTGTATTGCTCATGTCAATGCCTCCTTATTTGTTCTACTTGTATTTGCTGTGTGTATTTGGAGGGCAATTGTTGAAGTTCATAAAAGCTGCCCTTCCCCCACACCCCTTTCACTCTGGGGATCGCACCCAGGGCCTCGTGCATGCTAGGCTCTTCCTCTTGAGCCACATCTCTAACTCTATAGAGACTGATTTGGAATTTTGGTATTGTACTAATTAATTGAGCCTTTTGTCCTTTTCTAGTGATTTTCTTTTATCTTCAATACTAATTTTTTGTTGTGAGGTCTAATTTGTCTAATATTAAAGGAACTGTGACAGCTTCCTTTTAGTTGGTATTTGAGTGTTACTTCTTTTTTCATACTTTTACTTTCTACCTTTTAATACTCTTATGTTTGTATGTATCTCTTGTAACTAGTTTGGCAGATTTAAGAAATTCTTCTCAGTCTGTCTTGCCTTTAGCTGATAAACTTAGTTCTTTAATAGTTGTTTTGTTATTTGTATAATTGATCATCTTTCTTACTATCTCACCATGCTTTTTATTCATTTCACCTTTTCTATGATCTCTTATCACAGAAGATCATGTAGTTCAATTTTTCTTTTTTGTTTTTTGCAGTACTGGTGCTTGAACTCTGGGCCTTCACCTTGAGCCGTAGATGATTGGCTTAGTTTTCTTTTAAAAAATTCTGGGTGCTTTTAATACCATCTCTTGTTTTGGTGAGTAACAATTTTAGTGCTATGGTTCTAGCTATGTTTTCTTTTTATCTTGTTTGGGATTTGTTTGGGGATTAGTGTCTTTCAGTAGTTCTCAAATTCCCAGCATTTTTCTTTAAATTGCTTTTGTCCATTCATGGTCTTCTCTTCTTGGGACTTGGGTTAGGTGTGTGCTGCTGCGCCTTTTGTTCTGGCTCCTGTGTCTGTGTTTCTTAACCTCTTTTTCATATTTTCTATCTCTGCTCCTCTGTGATCTGAAACCAGACAAGATCGAGGTAGGTAAATATGAAAGCCAGATTCACCCCAGAGGCAAACACTAATATTAGCCCTGGGATTCAGACCCAAAGCTCTGAGTACATCCAAGTTAAGAGAGTTGCAGCTTAGATGTTTTCAGTCTGACAAAACCATGAGGGGCTGAAGTATACGTTTGGCTTCTGGGCAGATATAAATCCAGATGCTGTATGAGTAGAAACACCCTCAGTTTAAGACCCAAGGATTCCCAGATGGTAAGTCTAACTAAATATGAACTCATTAATAAAAACACTAGCTAGAGGCATGGCTCAAGTGGTAGAACGCCTGCCTAGCAAGCACGAAGCCCTGAGTTCCAAACCTAGTACTGGCAACAAACAAACAAAAATAAAACCTGAACAAAAAACACACAAATAAGCCACTGTGAGTGAACACACAAATAACAGGCTTTCTATTTGGACATCCAGAGACTTCATATCCTAAGAACTTTTTTTTTGTTTGAACTGAAAATGTAATAAACATGTTTATTTTAATTTACTTTAGTTTTTTGGAACAGGGAGGCACTTTGAGATATACTGGCTCAAGCAGAAGCTTCTATACTGACCTGCTTATTACTCACTGGTTAATAATTAATTTAAAGGGGCTGGAGGAGTAGCTCAAGTGGTAGAGCGCCTGCCTAGCAAGTGTGAGGCTGAGTTCAAGTCCCAGTGCTGCCCAAAAAAGTATTTTAAGTCATGTTCTTATGAAATTTTTTTGTAGTGCTTTATAGCAACTTTTTTTAAAGTTACTTGAGCCTGCTTTTTCCCAAATTGCTGAAGACTGTATGGGATGATTGGGGAAATGGTAATTTAAGGAAGCCTGACTAAAATGAGAATTAGAATAAAATAGTATAAATCATGTTGTAATAAGCCAGTTTTGGTTTTTTAGGGGGTGTATTATGATAGGGTCTTGCCATGTAGCCCAGGCTGGCCTTGAATTTGTGATCCTCCTGCCTCAACCTCCTTGGTGGTGAGGATTATAGGTGTGTTCCACCATGTCTAGCTACAGTTTTGGCATTCTCATGTATTAGAAATGTATCATTAACAGGATATTGCCAGTGTTGGAGTGCTTGCTTAGTATGCACAGGCCCTGAGCTCAGTCCCCAACAGAGGGAAAAAAAAGAAACAAAGTGTATCATTATTCTCCTAGACATTTTTTTTTAAACCTCAATTATCAATATTCCTTCTATGCTTTTCTTCCCTGGAATTTTCAGACGCAATATTCATGGGATAAGCAAAGAAAAAATAGCAAGAATGTTGGAGCACTATCAGCGTTTTGTTTCAGTGCCAATAATCATGAGTTCTTCAGTTCCAGAGAAAATGGAACGAATTGAATTGTGTGCATATTCTTCTGAGGATAGGAGTTCCAGGTAGGTAAAAATGTCTTATGTACAAAAGTCCACTTTGAAACAAAATTTTTTTTTTTTTTTCATTTTTCTTTTATCATATGTGCATAAGGCTTTGGTTCATTTCTCCCCCTGCCCCCCACCCCCCCTTACCACCCACTCCACCCCCTCCCGCTCCCCCTCATACCCGCAGAACTATTTTGCCCTATCTCCAATTTTGTTGTAGAGAGAGTATAAGCAATAATAGGAAGAAAAGGGGTTTTGCTGTTGAGATAAGGATAGCTATACAGGGCATTGACTCACATTGATTCCTGGTGTGGTGGGTGTTACCTTCTAGGTTAATCTTTTTTGATCTAACCTTTTCTCTAGTTCCCTGGTCCCCTTTTTCCTATTGGCTCAGTTGCTTTAAGGTATCTGCTTTAGTTTCTCTGCGTAAGGCAACAAATGCTAGCTAGTTTTTTAGGTGTCTTACCTATCCTCACCCTCCCTTGATGTGCTCTCGCTTTTATCATGTGCTCATAGTCCAATCCCCTGTGTGTTTGCCCTTGATCTAATGTCACACATGAGAGAGACATATGATTTTGGTTGTTTGAGCCAGTAACTCAACTCAGAATGATTGTTTCCAATTCCATCCATTTACCAGCGAATGATAACATTTCGTTCTTCCGGCTGCATAAAATCCATTGTGTATAGAATCACATTTGGAGCCTGTGAAATCACTGCTGACTGATAACTTTAAAATATGATAGACTTTTGTTATTTATAATGGTCTCAGCTGAAGTGGCTGAGAATAAGCAAGAGCAGTAAAAGTTTGTATGAAGATGAAGAAGATTGTTCATTGTGCTTATAGTTTTGTGAGTCTTGACTATATTATGAAGACACCTGGTCTTTAAGTATGTCCTGTGCTGTTCTATATATTTTCTTACTGTTATTATTTTAAATGTACCCACATACTTTTAATTTTTAAGGTTTGGTGAACTGCTCTTCGGGCTGGCGTCATAAGTATACTTTTACTGATTAACAAGTCAAAGACCTTTAGACAGTGTTAGCCTGTATCACTTGTGTTACTACTGTGTATCACTGTAACAAAATGCCTGAGATAATCACTCACATCGTCCTTTCAACACAGAGGTTTATTTGGCTCATAGTTTTTAGAGTTTCCAGTCCAATGATTGATTGACCTTACCCTTTGGCCTTGGTGAGGCCTCTTCCCCTTTTCTGACTTTTCTTAACCGAAAATCACGTTTTTTGGCTTTTTGTGATCCTCGTAGTGAAGCTTTGTCTGTAGTAAATGACAGGTAGAAATAGACCTAGTCCTTAAGCTTCATGGGTATGCAAGAAGCCAGGAGGAGGTGTCCTCTACTTAAGTTTAACGATAGAGCACTTAACGAAAACCTCATGCGCACTATCAGTTCATAGAGCTTACTTCCTATATGCCTGGGATCAGCTGAGTGTCATGGCCAAACAGGTGTAGTTCGTAGTGTACTAGAGAGAGTCAAGATTAGCTTGGTTATTTCTGGTGGTAATGGGTTTGAACTTAGAGCCTTAGTGCTTGCAAGGCAGGTACTTCTACCACTTGAGCCATCCACCACCATAAATTTTTTTTTTCAGTGCTGGGGTTGAACCCAGTCCTTGCACAGGCTAGCAAGTGCTCTTACTGCTGGCCTGTGCTACTGATCTATATCCCCAGCCTAAAGCTATCTCTATCTCTGTCTCTGTCTCTATCTCTTATCTCTACTCTATCTCTATCTCTGTCCTCTCTGTCTCTATCTCTACCTATCCCTACTCTATCTGTCTGTCTGTCTATCTATTTTATCATCTATCTGGACATGGATATTACATGTAGCCTAGCTGCTTCTGAACTTGCTGTGTAGCCAGGCTGGCCTGAAACTCATGCTCCTCCTGCCTCAGCCCTCCTGAATGCTGAAGATTATAGCATGCACCACTGCCTGACTCTAACTTTTATAATTGTAAATTTATTTTAGAATTTTAAAGAATAAATGCTCTTTTAGTTGAATGCTTCTTTAATTTAAATCATAGGTTAATGAGTAAAGAAGACTTCCATTGAATGATACTTTTAAAAAAACATCTTATAGCCCAAGAGACAATGAAGATGACCTCTGAAAAAGAGAAAGTGTTTTATCGCCATCTTGAGGAACTTGGAGTAATTGAAGAGAGAATCTGAAGTGGCCAAAAAACTGTGTCACCTGAGAAGTTCCCCTATCTCCTCAAGCCCATTAGAGTAAAGGGAAGAAAGAATTAAAGTATAGAGCAAAACCAGAGTCTTCACTCGGGAACTCTGCACATGTATTTTTCTGACTCGAAAGCAAAGTTCAAGCCACAGACAAAAGTGCAGAAGAAGAAGCCAAAGAAACTGTGTCACCTGAGAATGTTCCGTATCTCCCTCAAGCAGATTTAGATAAAGGAAGAAAAGAATTAAGTGATTGAGTCATAACACAGAGTGCTTCACTCAGGAAGCTCTGCACATGTATTTTTCTGACTCGGAAAGCAAAGTTCAAGCCACAGACAAAAGTGCAGAAAGAACAATAGAAATGACATCTGAAAAGAACGTGTTAAAATGATGCACGTTGTCCTGTTAGAGAGAGCTGTCACCGAGTATTTGCTGTGGTGAAAATAATCAAGACTTTGATCTTGCAAATTACTGTAACTCTTCAAAAATGAAAAATCTTCACTGGTGAGTCACTGGAAGAAGAAACAGCAGTAAAGAAAAAACCTTCGGGAAACAAAAAGCAAATCACCTTTGAAAAGTTTCAGACACGAACCAGCAAATTTTGTTGGTGACTGGCAGTTGATAAGACTATTGGTCAGAGAACAAAAAGGAATCGGAAAACTGAAAAAGCTTCATCTGTAAAAAGTGACAAAAAGTATATCTGCCACCAGTCACGTAAAGGTTAGATCTAGTATACATGAATACAGAGTGTATCCAGCAACAAGGTTCTCCACCTGAAGACTCAGAGAATGGCGGGAAGTCCAGTGTGACCATTCCTGCTGATTCTCGGTAGCTGTCAATACGATGCTTACAAAAATACTGAAAAAAACTCTTGCATTGTGGGGCGACTGCCTCACCTGCCTCTTTAGCTCAGAGAGAGCAGAGGTCAAGAATGCCAAAGGCTGGTTTAAATGAACCAACCTAGAATTTGGAACTATGACAATAGGAATGAAATATCCTCTATACACACACGATGAGGCCTGTTGGGGCATGAGCCCGAAGATTAAAACATTAGGTAGTTCCACTCCAGGAAGTTCTGAACAGCAACAAGGCTCTCCCACCTGAAGCTCAGAGAATGGCGGGAAGTCCCAGTGTGACCATCTCTGCTGAGTTCCTGGTAGCTGTCAATACGATGCTTACAAAATACTGAAAAAAACTCCTTAGCATTGGTGGGCGACTGCGCCTTCACCTGCCTCTTTAGCTCAGAGAGAGGCAGAGGTCAAGAATGCCAAAGGCTGGTTTAAATGAAACCCAACCTGACAATTTGTGGCAACTAATGCCATAGGAATGAAAATATCCTTATACACAGCACAATGAGGCCTGTTTGGGGCATGGAGCCCCGAAGATCTAAAAACATTAGGTAGTTCCCCACTCCAGGAAGTTCTGAACCTGAGCTGCCCAGTGAGGTGAACCCAAGGAGAATCAGCCCTTGGTCCAAGTAAGAAGATCATCGCGCAGCACGCATGGGCCTCCACTGTCCACCAGCAGAGGCAGCACGCGCATTCCCTAGAGAGTAGGGACCAACAAGCTTTTGCTGATTTTCCAGGGAGAACCGCCTCAAGGAGTCCCTGTGAATAGAAAGGAGGCATATGTACCGCACTAACCGACAGATTTTGCTCTCTTGTGGAAAATTGAAAAGATAAAATCAGTATTTCAGAAATTCTATCAGAGACTAACGAGGAAGAATTAGATTGGATTAGAAAACCAAAGCTTTCACAATATTAACAAAAATCAAAATGTTCAAAGAGACAATTCATACAGAGTGTTGTATGATAAAAAGCAGTACGTTGAGGAAAGGAACTTAGCCAGTGCTGACGATCCTGAAAATCTTAACCATTCTTGTGTAACTCTTTGGCGTCCTTTTCATTAGAAAGCCCTGAAAAAGACTTGTATGGAGAGGTGTAATAAAGATATTATATGGGCCACCAGCCTTTTGTTGAATCTGAAACTAATTATGTGAGGTATAAACTGAATTGAGAGTTCCCCCAAATCATGCTGATGACAGTCACAAGTTGGGCCAAATTTTCTCTGGGATTGAATTTGAATGGAAGTTATTAGTCACAGGGACCCTTAGAGGATTCTGATTCTTTGGTGCCAGAGTTTGAGTCCTGGCACTGGTATCAGTAACACGAATGCACAGCCTCCTTGTGATGCCGAAAGTGGAAACTCAGACAAGGCAGAATACGAGCTAAAAATCCTGAAACCCTGGATTAATATACAAGTGTGTTTCTAATGTGCTGTAGATCTAAAAAGTAATAAAGAAATTCTTCCTAACAGTCGGGCAGAACTTTCAGGTTCACATACCGTTAAGCCTGTTTCTTTCAGCTATTCAAAATCCACTGCCTCTAAAAATGTGAAGGAAATGGAGAATACCTAATAACTACAGGGACTAGAGACTGTATGCATTCATCTCTAAATTTGTCTGATACTGTAAACTCTATAACCGTACTTCAAATCTTCAATTAAATGAAGATGTTTATGTTACTGACTCATTGGAAATGAAAAAATGAAAATCTTCCCAAGGATTATGTGAAATTTGCAAACACAGAAGAATGATGATGAAGATGACAGGAAATGGAGAAAATTCTAGTGTCAGGAAGTAGTTTGACAGCTGGAGCTAGTGAAGAAGAAAAGCTGAGATACCGAGTTCCATGCCAGTGACGGCCAAATCCCTGACCATAGACTGTCTGGAGCTGGCATTACCTCCTGAACTGGCTTTTCAACTCAACGATTATTTGGCCTGTTGGTATTGATTCAGGTAAGGAATAGTAAATTACTACATACATGTGTGCCTTTGTGTAAAACAGAAAGTCTCTGTTTTATTTACAAAGTTATTTTCCTATGTTAACTGAGATGTAATAGTAATTTGTATTGCCTGATTTCATTGTCATATTTTAACACAACATAGTTTTAGAGGATTTAAATGTAATTTGAAGGAGTAGAGAAAATTTATATAGAGTTTTTGTATCCATTCCATGTATACATTAAAATTTATCTCTGGTATTTACCTCACAAATGAACTTTTTGTGTGTGTGGTACTGGATTTGAACTCGGCTTTGTGCTTACCAGGCAGTCACTCTACAACTTGAGCCATGCCTCCAGCCTTTTTTGCTATAGTTTATTTTGGAGACACAGTCTTACTTTTTGCCCAGGCCATCCTGGACTGCACGTGACCTTCCTATTTTAAGCTTTCTGCCCTAGCTGGAACGACAGGCATGCACCACCATGCCCAGCCTTTTTCCATTGAGATGGGGGTTCTCACCAACTTCTTTTGCTAGACTGACCTGGAACCATGATCCTCCCAATCTCAGCCTCCCACATAGCTTGGGATGACAGGTGCTCACCACCATGCCCAGCTGTTGGTTGAGATGGGGTTTAGACTGAGGTCCTTCCAATCTTAACCTCCAGGTAGCTACCAGTGCCCATCTACAAATGAATGTTTTCAGTCCTTGATGCTACTCCCAGATGGCGCTTAAGGCAAAATTAATTTCTTAGAATGCTCTTACTGAAAAATCTCAACTAATAGAAATGAAATCAATCAAGTGTATTGAAACTAAAGGAAAATGAATGACTTAAGTTTTATTATGAAGGTTCATATATTACACCAGTCAAGAAATGTGAAATAAATAACATTATAGCATAAAGATATTCCAAGAGGTTTAAGTAAATAGGTATACAAGTTAGTAATTAATAATACAATTAGTTTTATACAAATGGTAGATGACTATTTTCTGGCAAAAGTACAATTAGTAATGATTGTATTCTCTTTTCTCTCTGTCCCCTCGCAGGGTCTCTGACGGTGGAGGACTGTGTGGTTCATATAGACCTGAACTGGCTAAGTGATCCACAGAAGTGGAAAGACTCTGTCATGGTTTGGTGGGCCTCTTTGGAGGAGGACCTCCTTTTGTGTCTTGTTTGTTGTCTTAGTTTTTCCAAAATATCCATGTTACATGAAAGAGTTCAATTGGATTTTGACTTGAAACTTGCACTTTTACAGTTAACAGATTACTGATTGTTTTCCTCTTTTCATATTTGAGATATTTCCAGAATGGCCAAATTAAATACTTAGTGATGCAGCTCGATGTGATTGCTGATGTTTTTTTTTTTTTTTAAGGAAGAACAAAACCCTGAGCTTTTTAAAATTTCCAAAAGGCTGCAATTGCTTATTGATTAAATTTCAAAAACCAAATTAAAAAAAAAGCGTAAGAGCTCTATAAGTAGAAAATAATGGTATAGTCATATTTTATTATTTCATTTCCTCTAGTTTCTATTGTTTTTGCTTTACCATTTAGTCAGAATGGCTTACATTTTATAAGGAGAATGATTTCTAGGGAAAAATAATGCACCCTGTATCTTCTTTACCAATGCACCTGTAAATGCCACCCTGCTCTGCATTTGTGTTTAGGAGCGTCAAAGACAGGGAGGTTCTCGTGGGCAAGTGCACACAAGGTAAAGCAAGTTTTACTTTTAATGTTCTTGCCTGATGTCCAAACTTGGTATGTGCACATTTTTAACTCATTCTAAACATACTTCCCACAAATATTACCCCTGAATTTTGAT